TCTGCTTTACAGAACTCGTGCTGGAGAGAAAAACTGTAATTGTAATATATGTGGAATAAGCTTCCCATCCAGAACCCCATATTCACTTAAACATATAATTCATACCAGGAAAAATAATTCAAGGGCAAGGAATGTGAGAAAGTCATCAGGTACAGCCCAGCTCTTATTCAACATAAGAGAAGCCATACTGGCAGAATGCCTTATAAATCCCACGAATTTGAAAAACAGAACAAAACTTATTCATAGGTTGAAATAGATTGATTGGATATCAGAGAATTAAAAACCATGCATGCAAAAAATGTGGGAAAACCCGTAGGGACCTCTCAACCTCCAGTGAACACCAAAGGAATGGTCAAAGGGAGAAATCATATGTACACACACGGATGTGAACAAGCCCTCTTGTAGAAGTCATACATTTGTATACAGTGGANTCTGCTTTACAGAACTCGTGCTGGAGAGAAAAACTGTAATTGTAATATATGTGGAATAAGCCTCCCATCCAGAACCCCATATTCACTTAAACATATAATTCATACCAGGAAAAATAATTCAAGGGCAAGGAACGTGAGAAAGTCATCAGGTACAGCCCAGCTCTTATTCAACAAAGAGAAGCCACACTGGCAGAATGCCTTATAAACCCCACGAATTTGAAAAACAGAACAAAACTTACTCATAGGTTGAAATAGATTGACTGGATATCAGAGAATTAAAAACCATGCATGCAAAAAATGTGGGAAAACCCGTAGGGACCTCTCAACCTCCACTGAACACCAAAGGAGTGGTCAAAGGGAGAAATCAGATGTACACACACGGATGTGAACAAGCCCTCTTGTAGAAGTCATACATTTGTATACAGTGGAGAATTCAGAAAGGAGAGGAACCTTGTCAATGTACTAAATATGATAACGCCTTTACTAACAGAGGATAGCCCGCTGTACCCAAGACGGTTCAAGCTGTGGTGATAACCTACGAGTGGACTGAATGTGAGAAAGCCCTTAAAAGAAAAATAGAACTCTCTGTGCTTCAAAGAATTCCCATCAGAAGGACAGGTAGGAATGAACGTGAAGAGAATGTCAAAGTCTTCCGCAGGAAGCCAAGACTCTAAATCAGAAACCTCATGCTGGGGAGAAATCCTCTAAATGCAATCAACATAGAAACACTTTTACTAAGAAACCATTATAATCCTAAGTCATACAGTTCAGAGTGAGGAAAACCACGCAAATGTTAAAAAAAAATGTGGAAGTTTTGAACTAGAAGTCAAAAGTCATTGCACATCGGAGAAGTCATATTGGAAGAAACACTAAGAAAACAGTAAATTCAGGAAACCCTTCATTTGGAGATCAGAGATAGCTGACTCTCAAAGAGTTCACATAGGAGAAAACCCCTATCAAAGCACTAATGTGGAAAAAGTCTTCAGCAAGAAAACACATCTCATTACACATCAGAGAACCCACCCAGGGGAGAAGCCCTATGAAACAGTTAATTGAGGAAAGCATTCAGCAGTAAATGAAACTTCATAATTCACACTGTGGAGAAACCCCAGGAGTGCAACAGGTGTGGGGGAGGGGAATCTGTACACCCAACATGGTATTCTGGGGAGAAGCCCTCTCAGTTTAGACAAGGGGGAAACACCTAGTCTCGAGGTCAAAACTTACTGTGCACCAGAGAGTCTGCATAGGGAAGACTCTCTGTGTTGTATAAAGTGTGGTTCACCTTCAAAATGAGTTCCAGACATTACATACTAGAGAATTAATACATAAATTAAATAAATAAAAAGCCAACTTAACAAATTTAAATTCAGCCCCAAGGAAAACAAAATTCCATAACTGAAGCCGAGCTTTCTGTGAAAAAGATTCGTGGAAATGAACGTTCACGCATCTGCAGTCCAAGCGCCTTCCTCCCCATGCCTTCCCCAAAAATACTGGGAGGGAGGAGTTTTTATGAACGTCCTGAACAACTCTCTCTGTCACTGGTCCCAACCTGGAATTCCTGAACACGACCTGCCATGTGTATCTGAGGACAGTGAGTGCCACCCTGTTCCTTTATTCGCACACCACTAACACCACATAAGTGCACCGGCATTCCCTAAAGTTTGGGGGTAATGTGAGGGAGCACACCTGGGAAAAGAAAATAGCTGTACTCTAAGTGCGACATTTCCAAATCTTGGGGGAAAGACCTCCATGTGAGTGACTTCATTGGGGTGTGACCCAGATCCTCGGCTCACTCCCATCTGCTGCTCACAGGGCTCTCACGCAGCCAGTGTCTATCCCTCTTGCCAGAAAAATATGTACCCGAGCCCGAGTTACTCAGTCCAGAATAAAGACCCTCGGGTCTCCTCTTGCTGAGGCTGCTCCTCCTCGACTCCAACCCTATATTTCATTCTGGGGTCTACACATTCTCACCCCTGCGAAGTCCCGAGGTTATGGTGCTTGGTCAAGGCTGGGAATCTCACTCAAACTGGGCCAAGCCCGGGGCTTCATTGTAATCTTTGAACTTCAGACCTGAGAGTGTAAGTTTGATCCCTCTCTAGAGGTAGAAGAATCCTCTCAGTGGCCATTTCCTACTTTAGGTGGAAAGTCTAGTCTGCAGCAACGAAGTGCGAAGCCAACATGCGAAGAAAAGCAGGGATGCGGTAGGGAGCGTGGGTACGGTTCTTTCCAACAGCCAGCCCCACCACGCCGGGCACGGCCCTGGTGGACTCCTGCCCCTGAGTGTGCACTGTGGACTGCTCTCTTCACCGCTTCCACCGTGAATCAAGGAGAAGGAAAGAAAAGAGAAAAGGGAGCAACCAGGCCCGTTCATGCCCCACCCTGCTACTTGGGGTCCTCTGTGCCCTCGCCCTTAGGTGGGGCTGCCACTGTGGAGGTCGTCTTGAGGCTCCGCTTCCGCTTCTGCACGTTCTGCTCCGGATGGAACAGGATGACATAGGTTTTGGGTACATAGAGCATGCCAAGGGACACCGAAGCACTCAGGCTCAAGGACACAGTCAGCGTGGTTGTTTGGATGTAGATCTAGGCCATGGAGGAGGAGACAAAGTTGGACTCAGCCGTCTTCTCTCCCCCTCCCCAGCCCATACTTTTATTGCCACATGGACTAGAGGTGAGTGGGAATGAGCACTTAGAAAAGGATGGCAGCATAAGCGAAGTGCCAAAGGTGGCATGAAGAAGTTAGCCATCACTGTGTGGCTCTGGTGTAGGTGGGAAGGAGGGCCAGTGACACAGGACTGAGTGGACAAGTGACCGAGGGAAAGGTGGGGTTAACAGAAAGTGACACCTGCAGAAATGGTCCCTACCCCTGAGAGGGGCTGGAGCATGTTAAGAATGAATGAACAGAGATTGAATAAAGGAGCAAATGAGCGACAAACAGATGACAGTAAATAAACAAATGGTCTATTATTTACACGAATAAAAGCTCAAGCAAATGGACTGACAGATCAATAAATAGGTTAATCTTTAAAGTATATGAAGAAACTGAATTAGAAAAACAAATTAGGAAGAGTGGAAGGTAAGTAGTGGGTGGAAGAGTGGATGAACAAATGAATGAATGAATTTTGTTTACTGGATAAAGAAAAGAGTGAACAAGTATTTAAGTACATGGGTAGATCAACCAACCAAGCAATCATTTAAATAATGGAGTATCCAAATGGGTGGCTCAGGTCTTGGAACAGGCAGGAAACAAACAAGGTGTCAAAACCCACTGGTGCACCCCACATTACCTTTTCAGCTGACTGGGCGGTGCCAAAGAAGATCGGCACAAATGCCAGCCAGATGATGCAGGTGGTGTACATGGTGAAGCCAATGGGCTTGGCCTCATTGAAGGTCTCCGGCACCCCGCGGGCCTTGATGGCATACACGGTGCATGTGACCATGAGCAGGAGGCTGTAGCCCAGGCAGCCGATGAGGGACAGATCCGACATGTCGCACTTGAGCACCCCTCTGGCCTGCTCCGGGTCCACCGTCCGCTGCTCTTCGTAGTCGATCACGCTGTGTGGGGGTTGGGCGCCCAGCCACGCTATCACCCCCACCACCTGCAGGAGTCAACACCGTGTCAGAGACACGCCCCTTCTAGGGACAAGCCCATCACAGCCCTNGGTCTATTATTTACACGAATAAAAGCTCAAGCAAATGGACTGACAGATCAATAAATAGGTTAATCTTTAAAGTATATGAAGAAACTGAATTAGAAAAACAAATTAGGAAGAGTGGAAGGTAAGTAGTGGGTGGAAGAGTGGATGAACAAATGAATGAATGAATTTTGTTTACTGGATAAAGAAAAGAGTGAACAAGTATTTAAGTACATGGGTAGATCAACCAACCAAGCAATCATTTAAATAATGGAGTATCCAAATGGGTGGCTCAGGTCTTGGAACAGGCAGGAAACAAACAAGGTGTCAAAACCCACTGGTGCACCCCACATTACCTTTTCAGCTGACTGGGCGGTGCCAAAGAAGATCGGCACAAACGCCAGCCAGATGATGCCGGTGGTGTACATGGTGAAGCCAATGGGCTTGGCCTCATTGAAGGTCTCCGGCACCCCGCGGGCCTTGATGGCATACACGGTGCATGTGACCATGAGCAGGAGGCTGTAGCCCAGGCAGCCGATGAGGGACAGATCCGACATGTCGCACTTGAGCACCCCTCTGGCCTGCTCCGGGTCCACCGTCCGCTGCTCTTCGTAGTCGATCACGCTGTGTGGGGGTTGGGCGCCCAGCCACGCTATCACCCCCACCACCTGCAGGAGTCAACACCGTGTCAGAGACACGCCCCTTCTAGGGACAAGCCCATCACAGCCCTTGACCTAGGTCTCTGGCAGGTGAAAATCCCCTTGAGGCTCCTGACCTACTGAGTGGGATGCTCGGGCCTGAGGGAGCCACCATGAAGAAGGGAAGGCAGTCCAGGAGGGGACATACCTGTGTTATGGGCAGGTGGAGAGAAGGGCTGCAGCAGAGGTACGTGCTGGCAATGTCGGGGTGGGTGGGTAAGAGACAACTTGATGTCCTCTTCTTGTATTCTAACCATTACCAATGCCAGAGCCCCTTCAAGGTGTAGTGACTACAGGCAGAGGCTCTGGAATTGTGGCCCTAAACACATTGTCTTTCTTGGCCTCAGGTTTGCTATCTACAGAATCAAAAGCCTCATAATCTGTTGTGAGGATGCAATGCCATCTTGGGGGAGTAGCTGGCACAGGTACCACTGAGGAGGGCCAGGCCCAGAAGAGATGCTGTCTCCTCACAGCTCCCAGGTAGGCGTGATTATCCCCATTCTGTAGGTGTGAAAACACTAGCTTGACCATGTCTATCAATACAGCAAACCTAGTTCCTGAGGACCCCTTTCCTTCTTCAAATCCAAAGAACTGGTGACCAAAATGTAATGAAATAACATGTGAATGCATAGGGATGCTTAAAACAAGGGCATGTCACAGGCATGGAAATAAAGGAGGCACTCGATGGAGAGTGGTAAGAATGTGAGCTGATGCCGCTGGCCTGGAGGACCTCGGAAGTCAGAACAGGCCCTAACAGGGCCAAGAGGGGGTTTCGATGTCCTCACAGTGATAGGAGACACGATCTTGACCCAAGGGAAGCTGCGAAGCAGTAACTAAGAAACTAAGACGCCTCATAAAGGTGCGACCCTGGAAGGGCTGCCCCGCACGTTTGTGCAGGCTGCTCTCTGCACAGGAGCGCCAATTGGGGTAGGTGGGGCTGAAGCCTGGCCAGCACTCCAGGGCCATGCCGCGCAGCTGGAGCAGGCCTGTGATCCTAGAGGAAAGGATGCTTTTAAATTATCTGTCTGCCCAGGAAGGACACCTTTTTGTGATTCTCCTAGTGGTAGCAGCTCCATGAGCAAGGGACCCCACCCCTGTCCAGAAAGGCAGCATGGAAGCTCCTCTCAGAACAAGGCTCTAGGGAGAAGAAGTAGCACATGAGAAACTAAAACCCAAGGCCTGTGATGCACGGGAGTGACAACCAAATGTGCCCCCACCGACTTTGCAACCCATGTGATTGATCTTGAATGAGCATCCGGTACATATAATGAACTCCTACAAAGTCACATAAAATGAGAAAAGGATAGGGACAGGCAAATCACGTAAGAGGAAATTCCAAAGGCCAAATGCATCAGTATTAACTGTAGGCAAATTAAAACAACAGTGAGAAAAAACAACCATTTCACATCTATCATGATGTGGTAATCATGGCAAAAATACGTAGTAAAGTTGAAGGTGTGGCTCTTTTAAAAGGTCTGTTAAAAAAAAAAAAAAGGGCCAGCCTGGTGGTGCACTGCTACAGTGCGCCGCTTGGGAGCGTGGCGGCACTCCTGCTGAGGGTTCGGATCCCACATACAGACTGGTTCCCGCTCACTGGCTGAGCGAGGTGTGGGTGCAGCACCGAGGGTTGCGGTCCCGTTGCCGGTCCCGGACCGGTGCGGGCGTGACACTGAGGGTTGCGGTCTGTTGCCGGACACGAAAAAAGACAAAAAGGAAAAAAAAAAAAAAAAAAGGTCTGTTATATGTGGAAAGGACAGCGTGATGTGGGAGTACAAGTAGGTGAGGCTGGGAGTTGAGCCTGGGGGTTGGGGGTCGGTGAATGTAGTCTAAGCATCTCCACCCTGTGCGTGAGGGAAGCCCGGGTGTGTTTTAGGCAGGGAGGTAGTGGGGCACCTTATTAGTAGGCTCTGGGCCCTGAGATTCTGGTTCTGATGAGGGGAGCTCAGGCCCTGTCATCTGGAGGAAGTCAGGAGCACCTTCTAGTCAGGGAGAGTTGCACGAGCCAAGGCCGGGGTGGGAACGCACATAGTACACGCTGAGCTGGGTAAGCAGAGGGGCTGCCCTGCAGCGGACAGTGGGGCCATGTCAAATAGGCTGAGCAAGGTGATGGCATCAGAGCCACCCTCCTCCTGGCCCTTGGCACTCCTGCTGAGGGTTCGGATCCCACATACAGACCGGTTCCCGCTCACTGGCTGAGTGAGGTGCGGGTGCAGCACCGAGGGTTGCGATCCCGTTGCCGGTCCCGGTCTGGTACGGGCGCGACACTGAGGGTTGCGGTCCGTTGCCGGACACGAAAAAAGACAAAAAGGAAAAAAAAAAAAAAAAAAGGTCTGTTATATGTGGAAAGGACAGCGTGATGTGGGAGTACAAGTAGGTGAGGCTGGGAGTTGAGCCTGGGGGTTGGGAGGACGGTGAATGTAGTCTAAGCATCTCCACCCTGTGCGTGAGGGAGGCCCGGGTGTGTTTTAGGCAGGGAGGTAGTGGGGCACCTTATTAGTAGGCTCTGGGCCCTGAGATTCTGGGTCTGATGAGGGGAGCTCAGGCCCTGTCATCTGGAGGAAGTCAGGAGCACCTTCTAGTCAGGGAGAGTTGCACGAGCCAAGGCCGGGGCGGGAACGCACATGGTACACGCTGAGCTGGGTAAGCAGAGGGGCTGCCCTGCAGCGGACAGTGGGGCCATGTCAAATAGGCTGAGCAAGGTGATGGCATCAGAGCCACCCTCCTCCTGGCCCTGAGAAGCTAGCTGGGCCTGCAACATCACACCCAGGTACACCTTCCAAAGCCATCATTCCCTTAGCACTCTTTGCACAGAAAACATCTAAGGCCTTCCAAACTGTGAGAGTCATGTCCAATGCTGTGATGTTACTATCTTAGGGAAAACCCGAAGGAACTCTGTCTTTGACGCACATGACATCACAAAACACTGGCCATTTCATGGAACTAGGTGCTCCACACCACAGCACAGTATTGGAGCCTGAGCCTCCCACCCACGTCACCCTCGTGAACTGGGTGACAGTAACTCCCTTAATGGAAACAGATTCTTTGCTTCAGGAAAATCAGTCAGATTTCATGTGTGAGCCAACCTGTAGAAGAACATGTTCAGTTTATAAAAACAACATTATCGTTGTACAGAAAAACAGCTGGACGCTCACGCTGGCACCTTCCGGACCCACTTTTCCTTGCAGGCCTGAGCAGGGGATGGTCGCTGCTACGTGAGTTCTCACCACAGGATGAGAGCAGGGCCGTCTCCTGGGGCTTTTTTATTATTATTATTAATATGAGGGCCGAAACGGAAAAGAATGA